TTATTTACTAATAATAAATTTTCACAGTAAGATCAGAATGCTGTAGCAGTAAAAATAAAGTTCTTTATATAGCTTTGACATAGTTGAACTATATTTATTATAGTCATCTTGTTAAATAGATTTAAACTGCTTCAATTGATGGTACTTATGTATTAACACAACCAAATATGCTAAACTCTGGCAATCATGCTCATGACAATTCTTAAGTTTGAACAAGCAGCATTATCATTTTTATATGTGTTCTTATGTACCAAGTTCAATGGTTTTTATAAACAAATCATGATATTTGCATTGAATTCAGTTTTAAAGTATGCAGTTGTGGGATTTACATACAGAGCAAGAAATTACATTAAAATTTCTTCTGTACTTTGCAACAAAATTGTTAAAGAGGACAATTTCTTTTATATATTCTTAAAGTGATCATTACAAAATTTCTGCCAAGGTGAACAAAAAAAAAAAAAAAAAAAAAAAAAAAAATCCACTTGTAAGCAGGTTTATTAATAAATTTTTGGGATAAATATCTAATTAAAACTCCAAATATGAATGCATGTAATAAATGACTTTTTATAATTACTAGTAATCATTCTTTTCGCTCTGTAAAATATCACCGGACTGCACCTAGATGGTTATGCAAATACATTAGTGCTCAAGAACTTTCAAGGTAATTACAGTACAAAGTCTGAAATCCAGGATGATTTAAGATCTGGACTTGTGCATTACGAACAACTTTTCTTTTTATACTTTATGCTTCACATTTCATGTTTTTTTTTTTTTTTTTAATAAAATGTGGAGAATCCCAATTCTTAATTCCACTTTTGCACTGATACCAACTAGGCAAATCGTTATTTATTATCCTTTGCTTTCATCATTGCATAGCTATCAACACAGTCACGCAGTGATGTCTAAACTTTTTTTTTATATATATCGGTAATTGAATAGTACTCAGCATGGTAAACTTTTATCTTGACATTGCACTTGGCGATGATTATGGATTTCAGTTAAATCTGCTGCCAAGCATTCAGTTGAGTTAGCGAAATTTAACAGAAATTTCTTTCCATATGCAAAAAATAGATTTTGTAAATTATGTTCACAGGGTAAAAGGTAACATTTGGTCATGTCTGAACTGGGAACAGCTGATTTAATGTTCATGTAAGCACAGAACCAGTACCACAGCTGGTACGACTGTATCGGGCAGCAAAATTTGGGGAAGTTAATTTTTTTAGAATTTAGACAAGCACCAAGCAACAAAATTAAGAGATGGCACTGGGATGCAAAATTTTTAGAATTTAAGGAGGCACTTGGCAGCAGAATTTTGGACCCATAGAGTCTGGACCAGGCCACAAAAAGTCTAGTGCTGGCCCTGGATACATGTTAAGTATATGGGGGAATTTATTTATTTAGGACTTGGGTAAGCCTTTAAGTATGTGCAAGATATAGACGTAAGTATAATAAATAACTAATATTCTGAGACTTAACTTCATTAGCGTGCAATACAGATAAGATAAAATTTAACTGAACAACATGCCTTTACACACCAATATCATGATACATTGCCAATACTGTATAGCGGATGCTGAATTTGAAGGCATTCAGGCAAAAAGCAAAATTTTTCAATTAATGGAATTTTTGAAGAAATTAGCTGAAATGGTAATAAAGGAAGATAATGTAATGGAAGTATTCCATTGTCATTCCATGCCAGTCATCAATCAACTAACAGATGGCAAAATCTGTAGTGTGGTTCTGAATCCAGAAAATTTCACTACCAATAGTGAAGAAAGTGACAGAGTTGTTGCTGAGGATGAAAAATTTTCAGTTGAAAATTTAGTGGGAATTCTTGACACAGCAATTACAGGACTTGACCAATGGAACTTCATACCTGAACAAGAAATTATGTTTATCTGTTGAATTAAAAAGAAAGTATTTGAAAGCAATTTATATTAAAAGAAATGTTTAAAGCAAACAAATATTAAGCCTTTTTTTTTTTCTTTTTTCTTTTTTTTTTTTTTTTTTTTTTTTCTGTAAATTTTGGTTAAGGTTTATAAATGCGTAATTATTTTATAAATAACTATTTCGCATTTTTATTTTTCTAATTTCTCCATGTCATCTTACTAGATTTAAACTTGATAATCTCATAATCTAATGTCTAAAAAAATCCCAAATCTGGAATCGCCCCACGTGTCTGTACAGTGTTATTCACTCAGCTAAGATCTGTAATGAACTTTAGTAGATTGTTTCAGTTTAAGATGTACGTGAAGCAGAAAGATGGCTTTTAGCCAAAGTACTCATGCAGATTTATACTAGTAAATAATTGGATGTGTTTCCCCAAATCTGGAATCAACGAAGTCCTGGCGAGTTTGGGTCTGAGACACTGTACTGTATAGTAGAAACATTTTAAATCTGTCATTTAGAGAAAAAATTTATCAGGAGGGTTACATTAAAAATTAGACTTGTATTCTATACTGAAGACTGCAATTTAAAAAATACTTAAAAATCAGTTTTCTTGAGAAAGTTGTGTGTATCTCATATTTAGACTTAAGACTAGGAAAACCCCAGCCAGCGCCAACTAGTTTGTTCAATCATTAGGGAAGAACTGTTAATGCTTTACAACTGTAACGACTTACATGTAGGTGGACGTACAAATTTTACTACTCAAAATTAGAAATTTGTTGAAAATCAAATTACTGTAGAATTAATGCAGTGGCTAATTATTTTACAAGATATTGCTTTATTCATTTAATGCATGTCTGAGTTTTCTAATTGAAAAACCATAGGAATGCTTGTGTTTTGGAAGCCTTTAAATTTTGCTTTTCAGATCTAGCAATAATAAACCGATTAGCATGAATGTCTTTTAATTTCTGGAAACTCTCGTGAACAATAAAACCAGTTGTTGAAAATTTAAAGTTTTAAAAATTTGTGTAACAGAAGATTTTTTTGAACTAGCATAGCATGCTGCAAACATTTGGTTAATGTTTAGGTACTGTGTATTAATTATTTTGGATTATTGTAGGTAATAGTAAACAATAATTATTTTAAAGAATTTTTATAATGCCTTTCATATTTTAAGGGAATGTATGCAGGTTTATTATTACCAAACATGCAACTTGAATTCTCAAGGGAAAAATTACTTATGGTAGATTTTGTACAAAAATATTGATCTTAGTTGGGGATTAAAACAGATTTCTTAGTGTTCCACCATCATCAGATGCTCTCCCTGTTAAGTTACTAAAGCATGTTTATGTATCTACGATACTACTTTTTGCTACTTGCATGTTATCCACAGCTGGAACTTTGATTTACACTAACGTTATAATGATAATTGGCCAAAAAATGCCTGGTGTTGCAGCTATACCCCGTCTTTTTTTACTTTGTTCTGTTGTTATTAACATTTTCTTCTTTTACTTGAAGTATATAGTAGTATCAGATTATTTGAGAATGAAACAGAAGTTGTCTCCTTTTTCCAGAATCGCAGAATATTGTTGGATAGTTGTGAATATTAAAATTCACTTGCAGTAAAAGTTATGTATGACTGAAGAAAACAAGTTTTGGAAATGTAATAGTGAAAAATGCAGTATTAAATTTACTCTTGTATTCCTACTTTTTTTACTAATTTTTTCATACAGAAATGGAGAGGAGAAAATTGTGCTAATGATTTAGTTTTTGAAGGATGCAATTACAGTTAAGAACATAACAAATGAAAAGTCTTCATGGATAAACTTTTAGTAATTACCATAGTATAATTTATTTTAAAAGAATCTACATTCCAATGAGAGTACATAGTAATATCAACATTACAGTATCTAATTAGATATCTCCCTTTCTACTTGTGTCTTGAATCTCATCCACTCTCATTGCCCACAGCTTCATATCTAGGCTTCATATCAAAAGCTCTGATAGAAAATGTGTCATCTGCTTCAGCTTGCAAGTCATCATTGTTATCATTATCTTTATTACCATTTAGTCTATTTACCCCCAATGATTTTCAGAACCATGGAGTAGATTAAATATCCCTGTTTTCTTGAAACCTTTCAGTATAATTGCTTCATAAGTCTGAGCCCATTCACCTAAAATCCATAAGCAAATCAGTTAATAAAATAAAAGTACCCATTACAGGGATGAATCCATTTAAACTTTCTGATTGACAGGGCTGTATATATACGGCATAGAATATTTTTTGTGATGTCTGCAAGAACATATAGACATGTGCATTTTGAAATATATGTCTGAGAAATTAAGGCAGTATATTAAAAGCACATAAATCCATGTATAGACCCCAGGTTTTGGGGGTCTTTTTAAATTAAAATCAGGGAAATACCTCTTTCTCATGGCAATTTTAGGAAATTTCGTCTTTCTTAGTGAAACCCTGTGCCGGTCAGAGGGTTAATGTTTAGAGGAGCTCTCTTTCTGAATGGCTTGAAAAAGAGGAAAATGACATGAATATTTAAAAGATTTTCAAAACCTTACATTAAAAAGCTAGGTAAATGTGAGTAATATGGTGTATATCTATATTGTTATTTTGGGAAGTTAACATTAGATTGAATTTTGATGAAATGAATTACATATGGTTGATAAATCCATCCTAGAGGGAATACTTATAGAGGACAAAGAAGGAAAAGCAAAATATGTGGAAATGACAATGGCAGCACTTTCATGCTGGTCATGTGTTTTCCCTACAGTGAATTCTCTTATAGATAACTTTCTCTGGAAACAAAGTGTGCCATGCTGTGAGTGGTGTCAAAGTTATCTTGACATAGATTAAAGTTTCAAACAGCTGATAATTTATTATGTTTCTTATATCTGAAGATTAATTGTATTTTTGTTTGAAAAAGTATTTAAATGTGTGACTCAATTGTATCATTTCATTTTAATTTTTCATCTAAACGGGGTGTTAAAAATGTGTTTATTATATTTTTAACTAGTACTTTTTTTTGTGTATATTTTTCCCATACTCACTTTGATTAATCATTTTTTATCTTCCTAATAGTAGTCTCTGTTCTCTGTAGTGCTCTGAAATTTATTTCTGTGGTTCAAGATGTCTGTGATAAAAGAAGATTATATATGGAGAGAAAAACTGCTCAAGAGTATAATGCATTTTTGGTGGAATGGTAAAGGCTTTTTTTAATGCTTCACTTTTTTTATGAAAAATTATTCTACTTCAGCTTTTATTACTACCATGTGTACGTGTTTCACTTTATTGTGTTTTTTATGCATTGCATTTTTTTACAAATCAAAAGTTTGTGGTAATTATACTTTTTAAGTCATTTTAACAGCAAAAGCTGGACAAAATTAAAATTAAAAATACATATTTAGTGGGTAGTTAAGCTGGAAATAATAATTGTTTCAATATAATTTTAACATATCAAATTTAGCATCTTTAATGTATTATCAAGTAAACTGGAAATTATTATTTTTATTTTGCAGGTTCTATCAAGTAAAGTTTTCAAAAAATACGTTATTGCAAAACAAGCTGTTGCAAACAGATTCATGATGTAACTAAATTCGCAGTACAATTCTATCAAAGTATTCCTACTTTAGAAGTGATGTTCTTTTAAATTCTATTTCAACTTAGCATTTCTAAACTTGATTTATTTTATCAGGAATGTGAATTAAGCACTTTAAAGGAACATGCTTACACCCATATTCATAATCCTTGATATTTATATGCTGAAAATAAATCTGTGTATTCTGCATTCTTGTGCATTTAGGATAATGTAAAATGTTTGAGATATAGAATGCTTTTTAGAATGGATTTCTATTTAAACTTTCTGCGTTTGTATGTAATTCTAGGAAGCAGTTTCAAAAAAGGACTGAACAGTCTCGAGTGTTACCAGACATAAAATACTTGGATGAAAATGTGCAGGTTCATTGTAAGTAGACTGTTTATAATTACCTGTTATAAACTTATTTTTTATAGAGAGTAGTATATCAAAGTTGTGTAGTAATTCATAGTTAGACCAGTGGCCTAAATCAAAGAAATATTTTTAAATGTACGGTTAAAATATTTTTCCGATGCCAATACATATCAAACTATGGAAAATATAGACCATCCACTTGAAGAAAATTAAAATTCATGAAGTTGCATGTGATGCAGGAATTACTAACAATAAAATATCAATTATAAAATCAAATGGTCTTGTTATGAGTCTTATAATGAGAGAACTTGATAGAAATCTTGTTCTAATCTCAGGAACAAATCGTATTTAAACACAAATCGTATTTAAACCTTAGAAGCACCTCATAATAGGCAATAAAGCAAAAGAAAATTTTGCATAAACCATTATTAAATTATTTCAGTATCAAATTTCTGATTATGTATATTGTTTGTACCTTTTTTTATAATTAATCATAATGTGTGATGTAAATTTGTATGAGCATATTAGCTAAAAAAGGGGGCTTTATTGGTGCTCCTGTCCCTTGATTATTATTTGCAAATATATAATATTCATACATAAGAAATACATGTAATATTTTAAAAATTACACTTTATAGCGTAAAAAGAGATATACCAAGACGGAGTTATCCAAATGGATCAAAAACTTGGTAAATGTGATGTACATGTATTGAAATCGACATGGAAATGTCATCAGAGGAATTGAATGTTTTATTCAGGAAATACAGCTACAAGCAAATTCACATACCCCTCCCTCAAAAAAAAAAAATCAATAATGCATTGGCCCACTTCTGGTCCTGTTGCAAGCTGTTATCCAGTTCTGCATTGAATCTAAGAACTGATGGATGCCATTCTGAAATATTACATTTTGTATGTATTCCAGCGAGTTAGATCGGTGTGATTCCAGAGATGTCAGAGACTCCTGCTTATCAGAGGCCAAACATGCTCTATTGGGAAGAGATCTAGTGATCGCACTGGTCTGTAAAATGTTAGAGAAGTATGAAGACATGCTTCATATGTCACATCACATGTCCAGTAGTGAAAGCTGTGTCAGTTTAACCTGCATCAGAACTAAATTTCTCCTCATCTGTCTACTTCACAGCAACCCTTCAAAATCTTCTGCAAATGCATACGGTTTCCTGTCCACAGCCAAATGAAAGACTGTAGGGTTCTCTGATATCTCTTGTATTGCAGTATGCATAAGCTAGTGTGGTGGTCAGATCATCCCTTCACTGTATGTGAACATCTGCAAGTATTATATAGGCTTATATGAACTATAGGATTATATATAAGGCCATGATCCAAAAAGTTTTCCTCAGAAAACAATACAGAAAATATGAGATAGCTCTACAAGTAGAAATTGGTCCGAAGAATTCACAGTTCTACTCTATCCAAAAAAGGAAGGGACTACTTCCGAGGAGGTCAAAAACAAAATTGTAAACTCAATTAATCCCACCCAGTTACACATTGGTGTTAAAAGACTAAGAAAATTAATAAAGGAGGTGTTCTAATAGAATGTTCCAAGGCCTCTGATATTGAAGCCTTGGAAACAGAGGTTAATACAAATGATTTGCTTAGAAACAATATGGTAATTACACGTACTGTTAAGAAAGATCCAAAAATTATTATTTATGATGTAGATTCTGATCTTTCTCGAGATGATCTTAAGATTATGATTAGAATGAATGACTACTTTGAAAATGGTGTTTTTGACTTAAAATTTTCGATAAAAGGTAGAAATAACGAAGTACATTAGGTAGCCAGTGTATGTGCTAAGAAATATAAAGAACTTATAAAAGCAGGAAAACTTAACATAAGATGGTCTCGTCTTAGAATTAAAGAATTTCTGAAAGTAATTCAATGTTTTAAATGTTCAAAGTATGGACACTTTCAAACAAAATGCCTAGAACCGCAAATATGTGCTAAGTGTGGTGAAGTTGGGCATAAACACTGGGAATGTAAAGCTAGTCCTTGAAGCTTAGCCTTGATCATTCTAGCTTAGATAAAATTTGTCATTGTCACAAACGATAAATGGATCTTTTAATCAGTCATACTAATTATGGCTAGTAGAAGTGACGAATACTTTAAAATGGTTTAAATAAATTTACATCATGCCAAAGCTGCTGTAAATCAATTATATATTAAAACTATTGAAAGAGGCTATAATCCATATATATATAGCCTTAATCCAAGAACCTTACGTAGTGGATAATACAGTTTGGGGAATCCGATTACGATCATTGAAATGCTCACTTTTATACCTCACCTAGATCAAATAAAGATCGAATGCACCCATACTCTTAATAGACTTAGTAAAATGAATCTCCAAGGTAAAATTCTTAAGAGTTTATATAAAAGAGCTATTGAGAGAAAGATCTTGTATGCATGTGGCACATGGTGGACTGGAAAGGTTTGAATGCTTAACAAAATTTTGCAAATTCAAAGAGTCGCTTTATTGAGGATTACTAAGTGTTTTAGAACTGTTTCCACAGTAGCTCTTGAGATTTTGGCTAGTTCATATTACTTAGTTCATTACTAAGTTCATATTTTAGTTGCTTATTCTATTTTAAGTTATTTCAGGTAGTAAGGTGGTAGTTCTACTGCTTAATGGGCCTGAAATAGGCCTTATCTCAATGTTTCTTTAATTAAATAGCTCCACTAAGCCCTGTTAAGTTTCTAATGGCGGTACAGAAAGTTCAACCAGTCATATATAAGGCCATGAACAAAAAATACTTATAATATTCCATCATTTTTAGCAGATGACAGTGATATTAGTTACCATAGTAGGATGAGAATGATTATTGAAACATGATGTGTACTTTTATGCAGCCTATTGCTTGATTACTGCATTCTTTGCCCTTCTGTGAAAAAAATACACAAATAACTATCTCGTAGTAGGCCTTGTTGGATACATATTTTATGAAATTTCACAATTTCAATTTAGTCACTGTATTTTTACTTAGATCCTTTAGGGTATTAAATTTAGCAATATCTGGAATAAATCTTAGAACAATATTTTTCATAGAAGAGCATCTAAACAACAGGTGCTCAATATCGACATTACTCATGACACTTGGACAGGCAAAATTCACAGTACATCTCACAGTACTACTCATTGGAATAACTAACAGTATTTAGAGTTAAGATCCAATCCATACACTATCTGGCAAACTTTCCTGAATGCAAGTATTGGCCTGTGTGAATAGGAATGACTCAATGATGTTTCTTCTTTCTCTCAGCTCTTCATGTTAGTTACTACAGCAGGATCAGAATGATTAGGGAAATATAATGTATACTCCTATTGCCTAATGACCACATGCATGAAAAAACTAACAAGAAGTAACACAAAGAAATATTACTCAAAAGAAAATAAAAAGTACATGTTCATAGTCCTCTGCCGAAACTCGAACTAAATAGTTTGGGCGTAGGTAGAAACTCACTCGAACTAAATAGTTTGGGCGTTTTCAATAGCGTCCAATAAGGTGGCGCTGCAGTACATGAGGTTGTTTGCTAGTGTTCGTTACACGTCATAATTACCGAATAATAATGAGTCAAAATGAAAATACCAAATTATTGATGTAAAAAAGTTAAAATAAATAAGATAAAATAAATAACATAAGTTTTTTTCCCTCTAATCTGCATCGAGGTAAAAAAGCAGACGATTCACTCAACTCTTTGTTCAAGTTCACAATTGACGTTGTTGTATTTTCTGAGCTTTGTTATTTCATTTCACGAGATTGTTTAGTACTGCCTTTTTTTTTTAATCTGGATATTTTGTGGATAAATTGAGAATATTTTAAATTTCAGCCCTTTTTAATACAATGATAGATAAAAACACATTCGTGATTTTACTGCTTGCAACGTTGAAAAACGTAAACACGTTGCATTGACGGTAACGCAAAAAGTGCAAATTCTGCAAAAGATGGAAGCAGGTGCTATTCCTCTCAATTTATAGCAGAATGGTATGAAATTGCTACATGATTGTGTATGATATACCAAAAAATAAAGAAAAGCTGTTGAAATTTTATAGCAACATTGATTCTAACACCGGAATCCGAAACCAGAAATCTTTTTATGAGGTGAAATTGGCAAACCTCGATGCTGTGTACATATAATACAACAAATAATATGATCAATTTATGTATGTAATAATAGTAAATGTATCTAATACACCTTATTCATTTTGCACTTTTAGTCCGAATATTATGCTTTATCTTTTCTGTCCTGAAATCCGCAAAATCCTAAAATCTGCACAACCTCTGATCCCAAGCTTTGCAGATTTCTGGAATTCCACTGTACAAACTTGTTTTCTTTCCTAGAGTACCTCTTGGCTGCTGAAGGCGGGTCAATCATATCAAAATCAGTTGCCATAGTTGTGAAAGAATTGTCATTCTATCGAACTACTGCAGTGACATTCTGGTCATCAAATGGAATATTATATTCCATGTTCTTCTTTTGTCATTTTGTTTACAGATACAATAAGACAATTTCTTAATCTGTTCTCAGAAATTATTCCAATGGCATGAAATCTCAGCTCATTCACTTCTGGCAACAACGTATTTGACATAAAAAAGATGTCAGAATTTACGTAATGATTTGAAGAAACTTCCACCACACTTAAGAGATGTGTACTAGGTGAGATGCTGTACATCTCCACCTAGTCCAAGATAGCTGATATTATATATGATCATTATGCTCTTGAGCATTTCATGTTTTCAAAAGGTGGCTATCTTGAGTGACAATCATAACAAGTGATCTGCTTTGTCAAAATATCTCATCCCTATTCCTGTTCTGTGTTCTAGTTTGTAGTCAAAATCTTCTAACATCAATTCCCAATGTGCTGTTCGTGTATTTAAGTCTATCTTATTCATTGACATTTTGAAGAACCTTTACATTCAGTAATAATTTTGTTTGCCTAAAAGGTTAACTCTAAATTTTTTCAAAGCTTGAATTGCAGCTAATACCTCAAGTTCATAA